AGACAGAGCAATACCTTTGCTGAAAATGTTATGGTATGAATGTTTGTGTACTCCCAAAGTCCATATGCTGAAATCCTAACCCCCAAGATGATGGTATTAGGAGATGAGGCCCTTGTGAGGTGAATAAGTTTATGAGGGCAGAGGTCTCATGGATGGCATTCGTGTCTTCATAAAAGAGCCCTGAGAAAGCCCCCGGGCCTTTTTTGCCATGGGAGGGCACGCTCAGAAGACATTGGTCTATGTGTGAGGGGGTTCTCCCCAGACACCACATCTGCCTGTGCCATGATCTTGGACTTCCAGCCTCCAGAACTGTGAGAAATAAATGTTCCTTGTTTATAAGCCACCCATTTTATGGTATTTTGTCATAGCAGCCTGAGCAGACTAAGACAGAAAGTATATCAAATTTCCTAGCATCGGAAACTGATCAGTCGCTTATCTGTTAAATGGGGAAACTAATACCACCTGATAAATTTATTGTAATACATATGGAATTACCTTATGTATTTGTAGCTCATTTTCATAGAAGAGTTGTCATGCCTTGTATCCAAAGACAGAGATAACTATTAAAAACACAAGTAGAAAATCTGTTTCAAGGCCAAAAGTAGAAATACAATGTGCTTACTGCAAGAGTAAAATAATTGCCATGATATGAATTCACATTTGACTTTGAACTTCTTGGTTATCAGGGCAAATGGGGAAGACAGTAAAGATTTAATATAGTATTTGTTGTCAAAGTGATCTTCAAAGGAGATTGTATGTCTGGGTATTTGTGAGTATGTGTGTGCTTGTGTTTCCTAAGATCCGAGTCAGCTTTGTGTGCTGAGTATTGGTTTTATATATTTAAACTATCTTCCTGCATTATTTCTGAGCCATAGTCCCATTCTTGCACAGTCCATACACATCCACGTTAATGTGGTCAATTGCTTGGTGTCTTTCCACAGATGCAGAAATATGTGTTATTTGGCTCTTCTGTTAGGGGAAAAGGTAATTTAGGCCAAGTATTTGAGATAGCCAATAGTCTATTTAGATACAAAGAGAGACATTAGGATAATCAGAAAAGTAGATACTCATGGTCAAAGTACCACTTAGTGCCATTTTATTCATATAGACCTTTTTTGTGTGTTTTTAAGTATGGAATAGCTAAAATGTCGTAACAGAAGATTATACAATCTCAAATTATAGTTTGGAGTATTGATCTTTTCTACCAATATTTCTATGTACTTTCTGTGTATATAGGGAGGACAAGATGTGTATTGGAAAAGGAAAGGATCTGGAATTGGACAGACCTGCATTCAAATCATGGCTCTATCATTTATGAACTGCATGAACTTAGGATCTGTAACATTCTCAGATCTCTGAGTCTCAGTAGCCTGCCTTGTCAAGATGGTTTGACAACACCTCTCACAAATTTGTGAGGATTAAATGAGATGATGAACCTGACAGTACACAGCTCAATAAATATTTTTAAATGAATAAATGAATGGGCCCTTCTAGAATATGATTATGATGATGGCAGTGATGATTTTTTTTAAGAGACAAATATTGGCTGAAGAACAGAAACAGAGAATGATAATTAAATAGTACAGTTTCAACAGATCACAAGAATTTGGTTTGTTATCTTCAAAAATATTTTTTTAAGTAAGAAGAGACTATAAGAAGCCTAATTTAACTCAGAATGCTTGGCATAGTCCCACTCATCAAAATTAGTCTGACAATTCATTTGCTACTTTGCAGCAATTAAAAGGAATTAGAATGATTAATTTTGCTCAACAAGAAATAAGCACACAATCATAAAGAAAGTTTCCTTGTGGGAAAACAATGTAACCTTGGCTTCCTTGTCCCTCTTGGACATAGAAAATATGTTTTTGGTGGCTCTGGGCCATTTTACTTTATGCCTTATAGGGAAGAAATCTGAACTAGGAAATCTTCTCAAAAATTCTGGCCGTTCTTTTAGTAGCTAAAACACACTTGTGGTGTATTTCTTCTCAAATATCTGATACATATATTAGGCAAATCCATTGCTTTAAGAAGAGAGTAACAAAGTCATTCAGAAAAGTCTGATAGTAAAAGACCAAAGGCAACCCAAACAAATACAAAAATCAGAAAGAAAGAAAGAGAGAGAGAAAGGATTGTCATATTTATAAGTCAAATGAATTAAATAAGGCAATGGAGGGAATTTTATAGTGATAAACATTATGATGCACAATGAAGATACGTGTGTACCAATTAACATAGCATTGCATAAATCGTAAGTTTAAAACTACCAGAACTGCATGGAAAAATGGATGGAGATACAGTAGCAATAGGCTCTTGTAGCACATGCCAATCAACTCATCAAAAAACACATAAGGCTATGAAAAATGTTAAGTCCATAAAACAGTCGCAAAAGTTGACCATCAATTTTGCTACAAAGAAAATCATGTTAAGTTCCCAAAGGTAGAAAGAGCTCAGAGAACATTATTTGATCAGATTGTAATAAAATAAGAAATTCATCACAAAACAAAACAAAAATACTAAAACAATAATCCTCATAGTCTGAAAATTAATATAAAACTCAGACAAAAGAGGAAATCAAACCCCACATTAAAGAATCTCTATAAAATATTATTAATAAAACTATATGCACCTGAAGCTATGGGATAGTTCTAAAGTGTTTAGGGGAAAATTGCCTTAAAAATTATGTTGATAGGGGCGCCTGGGTGGCTCAGTCGTTAAGCGTCTGCCTTCGACTCAGGTCATGATCCCAGGGTCCTGGGATCGAGCCCCGTGTTGAGCTCCCTGCTCAGCGGGAAGCCTGCGTCTCCCTCTCCCCTGCTTGTGTTTCCTCTCTCGTGGTGTCTCTGTCTGTCAAATAAATAAAATCTTTAAAAAAAAATTATGTTGATAAACAACAATAAGTTAAAATGAACAAGTGAATCATGTAGCTAATTCAAGAAATTTTAAAAATAAAAGAATAAGAAACTTGAAACAAGAAGAAAAAATTATTAATAATAAATGAGAAATCAATAAAATACTTGAAAATGGGAAAATTAACAAGTCAAAGCTCTGGTTATTTCCAAAAATAAGACAAACTAGTACTTAACATGTTCAATAGTTAGATTAAAAATGCATAAGATAAGAAATAAAAATGGTGATATGGGGCACTTGGGGGGCTCTTCGTTGTGTCCGACTCTTGGTTTCGGCTGAGGTCCTGATCTCAGGGTCATGAGATAGAGCCCAGCATCCAGCCCAGCATCCAGCCCCGCACTGGGCTCCACACTCAGCATGGAATCTGCCGAAGACTCTCTTTGCACCTCCCCCCACTAAAATAAATAAATAAATCTTAAAAAAAAAAAAGACAATATAACTGCAAACACAGAAAGAATATATATCATTAGAAATATTATGCTTAATTTTATGAAAATACATTTTTAAAACTGAAGGAAGTGGATAAACAAGGAAAATAAAAACTACTAAAACTGGACCCCATAAAAAAAGAAACTCTAAAAGACCACTTATAGAAAACAGAGAAAATTGTCAAAAAGTAATACCTTACTTCACACCCCTCTCATGCACAAAATGTTATTAGGTGCAGACATTTAGGAAACAGATATCCCCAAAGATAGGGAGACTGTTTTGGAACATGGAAAAAAGATGGAAAACCTCCAAAATCTTTTCATAAAGTCAACATAATACTTATAACCTGACAAAGAAAGATCTGAATAATCTCATAATTATTAAATGGAAAATGCTATTTACAGGTCTTCCATAAAATTTCCCATAAAGAAAAATTTCAGTTTCAAATAGTTCCACTGGCAAGTTCTACCAACAACTAAAGCAGCACATGCCAGACATCTAACAAAAACATTTGTAGAGCATGAGAAATAGGGAACATCTCCCAATTTGTGAGATTAGCACATTAGATTTTTTGCTTTCTTCTTAAAAAGCTGAAAAGTGAAAATAGCATTCAGCCTTTGTTTTGCAGTGAGCTGTTACAGAGACAGCTTGCACTTGAGCAGTGAGAGTGACCCGCCAATGTCCTTTCCTGGGAACTACACTCAGCATCTCAGTATCAATCAAGCTGCCTTAGCTTTGAACTAGGTCTGTGGGCATCTGTGCTTTATTTTCACTTATTTTATACATCCTTTAGCAAGATGTGCCCTAAGGTAGCAAAAAAGCCTAAGAGAGATTATTTTGGGGGTCTGGGAATGCTCAGACATTTTTCGATATGAATTGCTGGTAATTGCTTCTTTCCTTTACACCATTTTGGCTTACAGAGGTTTCATAGGAATCTTTGACTCTCAGATAGCAGGGGAAAACCATATATACATATACCCACAGTTGACCCTTGAACAACTTGGGGGTTAAGGGCACCAAACCCCTGTGCAAATAAAAATCTGCATATAATTCTTGACTCCTTAAAAACTACTAATAGCCTACTGTTGACCAGTAGCCTTATTGATAACATAAAGAATTAACATATATTTTGTATGTTATATGTATTACATACTGTATTCTTACAATAAAATAGGCCAGAGAGAAGAAAGTGTTATTGTGGTGCCTGGGTGATTCAGTCTTTTAAGTGTCTGACTCTTGATATCGGCTCAGGTCATGATCTCATGGTGGTGGGATCAAGCCCAGGGGTCCCGCTCCACACTCAGTGGGGAGTCTGCTCAGGATTCTCTCTCCTCTTCCTCTGCCCCTCACCCTGCTCACGCACTCTCTCTTTCGTGAGTGCGTGCTTTCAAAAAAATAAATATTTTGGGGCGCCTGGGTGGCTCAGTTGGTTAAGCGACTGCCTTCGGCTCAGGTCATGATCCTGGAGTCCCAGGATCGAGTTCCGCATTGGGCTCCCTCCTCGGCAGGGAGTCTGCTTCTCCCTCTGACCCTCCTCCCTCTCATGTTCTCTGTCTCTCATTCTCTCTCTCGCAAATAAATAAAATCTTAAAAAAAAAAAATAAATAAATATATATATATATATTTTTAAGATTTTATTTATTTATTTGTCAGAGAGACAGAACACAAGCAGGGGGAGAGGCAGGCAGAGGGAGAAGCAGGCTCCCCGCCGAGCAAGGAGCCTGATGTGGGACTCGATCCCAGGACCCTGGGATCATGACCTGAGCCGAAGGCAGCCGCTTAACCGACTGAGCCACCCAGGTGTCCCAAAAATAAATATTTTTTAAAAAGAAAACATTACTAAGAAAATCACAAGGAAGAGAAAATACACTTACAGTACTGTATTTATTGGAAAAATTCACGTATAAAGTGGACCCGTGCAGTTCGAACCCATGTTGTTCAAGAACCAACTGTATTTAAAGCATCACTGATAAGTCAGTTTCATCCAAGGAATGCAAAGTTGGTTTAACAGTAGAAAATTAATTGATTTAATTCACACTTTAATAGATGATCATATCATCATATGCAAAAAAATATGTTTAATAAAATTCAATATCCAGTCATGATTTAAAAAGATGAAGAAGAAGGAAAAGAAAAAGCTCTTAGTAAGCCAGGAATGGGGAGAAAACTTTCTTAACCAAATAAAGGGTCTCCAGAAAACCTGTAGCCAAAACCCTAAATAATGGTGACATATTGAAACCATTCCCTTTAACATCAAGAATAAAGTAAGGATACCTTCTACTACTACTATTCTTCCTCAACATTCTCTACTGGTTGTCCCAGACAATGCAGAGTGTAAGAAAAAGATATTAACAAGCACCCAGATTATAAAGGATGAAGGGACAGACCGTATGATAGTCTATGAGACCATGCAGTATCTGGTCCTGGGTCACAACTCTGACTTCATTTCTCTGTGTTCTTGCCTTGCTGCCTTATTGCTGTCTCTCAAAGAAACCAGTCAAGCTCCTACCTCAGACCCTTTTTACTTGCTGTTCTCCCTGCTTACAGCGCTACTCCAAAGTTCTCCAAGGACTCACTCCTTCAGATCCTTACAGAAGTGTCTATTTCTCAGGGTGGCTTTTTCTGATCACCGTATTTAAAAATTAAACCCTTCTCTCTTCTTCTTCCTTCCAGCATTCCCCTTCTCTCTTTCTTACTTTTTCTCCAAAGTGCTTCTTGCCATCTAATGGCTGTATATTTTATTTGTTTATTGTCTATCTCTCCCTAATAGAATATAAATTCCATTTCACTGGGGATTTATTTTTTCTTTTTTATTCACTATTGAATCCCCAGGGTCTTAAAGAGTGCCTGGAACAGAGGAGGCATTTAATAAATATTTATTGAATAAATGAATAAAATTTATGTAGGAGACCCTAAAGATTCTATTATTAGAGTGATTAAGAGCTTAGAAAAGTTGCTTAAAACAAAATCAATATAGCAAGTTACTTGAATTACTCTACAACACAAATCAGCTAGAAGACAGAATTAAAAAAAAATATTTTTAATAAAAGTAACAACACATTTTAGGGCTTGTAAGGTAAAAACTGTAAACTATTGTTAAAAGCATAAACAATGTAAATAAATGGATAAATATATCATGTCCCTGGATAGAGACTCAGTATGATAGATTTCACCTTTCCTCAAACTGATCTTCAGATTTGAAGCAATTCCAAAACAATTCCAACAGGGTTCTTTTAAAAGAAATATGACAAAGTCATTTTAAAATATAAATGGAAGACAAAAGGGCAATGAATAATCATTTATAACAAAGAAGAGGAAGATTGAGGACTTTCCATTACAGGCGCCTGGGTGATGTAGTCAGTTGAGCATCCAATTCTTGGTTTTGCTCAGGTCATGATCTCAGGGTCCTTAGATTGGCCTCTTGTGCTCAGCATGGAGTCTGCTTGAGATTCTCTCTCCCTTTCCCTCTGCCCCTTCCCCTACCCCCATGCACTCTCTTTCAGATAAATAAATCTTTAAAAAAAAGAAATCACTTTGAAGCTATTGTAATTAAGACAGTATGATATCAGTCAGATAAGGGAGAGGCGGGTAGAAAAACAGAACTGAGGAGAGCTCACACATATTTAGAAAATGGATCTATTAATGTAGATCAGCGAGTCAAGGATGTACTTAATTTTAATGTAGTTGAATTTATCAATGTTTTTCTGATAATATTTGTGCTTCTTGTTTCTAGTTAAAGAAATCCTTTAAGACTGTAATAATAAAGGTATTCTCCTAAATTACCTTCTGAAAGTTTTATAGTTTTTCCTTATATTTATATCTTCAGCCTATTTGAAACAGATTTTGTGCATGATTTAAGATAGGGTCCATTTTTAATTTGTTCATTTGTTTGTTTTTCTGCAAGGGAGAATTAATTGTTCCAGTCCATCTTTGCCTAACTGATTTGCAATGCCCATTCTGTTGTAATTAAGGTTTCCACAAATATGTGGGGCTGTTCCCTGGGCTCTCCATTCTGGTTTACAGAAACATGAAAGATGAAGAACCTATAGGGTTTTACATTAAGTGAAATAAGTCAGACAGAGAGAGACAGATACCATATGACTTCATTTATATGTGGAATCTAAAAAACAAAACAAACAAACCAAACAGAAACAGACCCATAACTACAGAAAACAAACTAGGGGCTGCCAGAGGGGGATGTGGTGGGGGAATGGCAAAATAGGTAAAGGGGATGAAGAGGTAAAGAAGAAGGTAAAAAAAGAAATGTGAAGATTCCCTACCCCATTAGTTATAGAAATGCAAATTAAAACTATTTCCTATCCACTAAGTTGTCAGAATTAAAAAGGTGGATAATATCTGGTGTTTACACAGATATGAAACAACCGAGATGTTCACCCATTGCTGGTGAAGGTTTAAACTGATAAAATTATTTTTTAGAGGGGCACCTGGGTGGCTCAGTTGGTTAAGCAACTGCCTTCGGCTCAGGTCATGATCCTGGAGTCCCGGGATGGAGTCCTGCGTCGGGCTCCCTGCTCAGCGAGGAGCCTGCTTCTCCCTCTGACCCTCTCCCCTCTCATGTACTCTCTCTCATTCTCACTCTTTCAAATAAATAAATAAATCTTTTAAAAAAATTTTTTAGAGAAGTTTGGCATTGCCTAGTAATTTTGAACTTTCTGACCCAGCAATTCAATATCTAGATATCTTCAGAAGAACTCTCCCACATGTACACCAGGACACATATACAAGAATGTTCACAGCAACACTGATTGCTAACTAAAAACCAGGAAATAAACCAAATACCTGTCCCCAATAGCCTGACTAAATATATTCATTGATACCATGGAAGACACATAGCAGTGAAACTGAATTAACTCCAGTTACATGAATCAACACGGAGAAATCTCAGAAATGCACCATGAGTGAAAGAAGCAGTCACCAAAGAATACATAAAGTATGAAGAATAGGTTATTTAGGGATATATACAGTAGTCATGAAACTATAAAGAAAGGCAAGGGGATGATTAATTTAAAATGCAGAATGATGGTTCTCTCTGGGTGGATTGGGGTGAGAGGGAGATGAGATCAAGGGGTTTTAACCTGTATGATGGGAACATGGCTTTTTAAAAATTACTTATTCTTTAAACTATACCTATAAGTTATATGATTTTTTATATACACGTGATATGTTTGACAATAAACACTTTCAAAAAAGAAATGACTATAATACAATATGATAAATGCTACCTAAGAATTATTTTTGTAAAAGGTATCATGGAAGGAGATTAGAATAATGGAACAGTTGCTAAGAAAGAAAATCAAGGTTTGCAGTGGGCATGGTCAGCCAGGACTGTCAGGGCAAAGGGAGTTGGATGGCTTTGTGGTCTGTGCCGGGACACTGAGAGCCAAGTGACCCGCCCTGCTCACAGGACAACAGACTGGATAGTCAAAGGACACAGGACCCCAAGTAGTCCTAATGATGCTCTGGCAATTTTATTACCTAATTTTTGTGTGTGTGGCCTTCCAGAGGAAGACCATTTATCCTTCCGAGTGCACTTATTATTAAACTATCACTCTTTCTTTATTTCAACATAATTTCAAAACAAGCTAAAAGTCCCACGTTCACAGAATCATTTTCACTCATTACATTTTCATTTGCTGGCTTTAGATAAAACCACCTTAAACTTTTCCAACAAACATCTCCAAAGTATATCATAAAATTAGTTCTTTCTTATATTTCCACAAGGTGTGGAGAATCTTGATTTTTGTTGTTGTTGTTAACACAAAGTTACTTCCTCATCATCCCTAAATTTAGTCATTTATCTGTGGTGGTCTCAGCTTGGCTTAGTCCTTGTAGTAAGTAAAGTCAGCTTCTCCCCATTTCCTTGAGATTGCAGTAAACTTAGTTTGATCTGTATCAGAGGACTATTTAACTGAAAAATTTCCTTCTCAAATAAAAAAAAAAAAAGTTTACAAAATCTCAGTTGTTTTTCTCTCTCCAAAGACAGGTTCAATTTGGTACTGGATTCTTTTTTTTTTTTTTTTTGTAAATAATCTGTGTGCCTCAACACTGTCGATGAAGACAGGTAGTTGGTACTAGTCTTTACACATCAGCTTCTCCAGCGTTCTCCAACACTGTGCCCTGAAGAAGAGGATATGACCTCGTAGTTCTATCTCCCTCTGTCCTGGCAACCTTTCACTCTCATCCAAATCATTTGGCACAAGGCTGTCCATCTGACTTCACTTATCTGCCATCCACTATCTGCAGGAATAGCCCGATTGTACTGGACTACATTTATGAACTATGAGTTCTAATGATACTGGAACCATCCTGGTGATTCAGCTTCAGGCCTTTGTTGTTGCTTGATTTCATTCAGAAGCAGGGTACAGATGCTGTGTATACTGACTGCCAGCTCCTTAGAGGTTTTTTCTGAATTCACATAGTCTTAGCCTCTTATTTTTCGGGGAACTGTTTTGAGATAGAATGAGCAGAATAAACAACAAAGAACGGAACGAAGCCCACATTCTGATTCTGAGAAAACCCCTCCCCTGTGGCAAGAATTCAAGCATGGAGGTGGAGTGGGGAGGAGAAAGAAAGAAGCAAATTGTTCTACCAGCTCTCTACAATTTTGAAGAAAATGAGATATTAGCAGAAATAGAGATTCCTTTAGCACATTGGGTCCTCATAGATACACACTTCTTTTTCAGTTGAGGATTCAGGCTATCTCTTCATGGCAGATTAGCTGATGTATTTACTGAATCTCCAGCATCCATACTTAGCCACTTAAAATAGTCTTTGTAGCATGGACATCATCATGGTCCCAGGGAAATCTGAAAGGAAACTTGAATTGGTCAAGTGATAAAATCTACTCTGAAAAAGGACAACTTCTCTTCATGATTTCCTTCATTTGATGCTAAAAACATGAATAGGTGATTTTAGTCTCTGGGGCTATTTACAAATAGCCTATGTCCAAAGCATTTAAGGAACAATCAGTGCATGAGTAGCAGGAATCACATAATGCTGCTGGTAGAAATACACTAAAAAAAAAAAAAAAGTCTCTGATGGTGTGTTGCTAAAAACCCTATCAAAAATTATTATGGGGGTGCCTGGGTGGCTCAGTTGGTTAAGCGACTGCCTTCGGCTCAGGTCATGATCCTGGAGTCCCGGGATCGAGTCCCACATCGGGCTCCCTGCTCGGCAGGGGGTCTGTTTCTCCCTCTGCGCTCTTCCCTCTTGTGCTCTCTGTCTCTCATTCTCTCTCTCAAATAAAGAAATAAAATCTTTTAAAAAAAATTATTATGAACTAATGCGATAGAAAAAAATGTAAACCAGGCATGAAAAATAAATTCATTCCGTTGGTAGGTCCTATATTAAATCCAGAGAAGTCTAAATAAAATCAGGCAATGACGTGATGAAAAATGAAATTTATCCAATGCATAAGAACCAAACTACAAACTTCCAAGTAGAAATCTTAGAGTATGAAAGGCAGTGCCTTACTTTCTTAAAGCTCAGTTTTTGGAGCTTTTAAAATAATAAAATAAAGACTGATTTTATTACCTTATACTCTATTAAATTAAAAAACAAAATTATCTGCCATCTGTTCATTTCTTAAATGAACAAAACCAATGTCATACTTATTACCACATGCTACTCTATGGAATCCCTTAAAGATTCCAGTTTTAAAGTGTTTTTAATTCCTTTTTCATTTAGTTTTCTTGGAAGTTCGTATTTGGGGGAAAATATAAGACAGGAGGCATTTAAGAAACATTTACTGAGCGGATACTAGTCAAATGAAATCATAGGTTCCAATGCTAGATTAGACTCAGAGGATAGAGACGAGGGGGCAGGAAAAGGGAGTAGAAAGGAATGGATGTGGTTAGAAAGGGGAGGGGACACTGATAAGTATGAGCCCGGAGATGTAAGCATTATGAAGCGATGATCATTTTCAAAGGTTATTTAAATTCCTAAAAAGTTTGTTAAGGACAGCATGCAGCCCCCTGTGCCCTAATAAAGCCAGCTCTCTCCCCGACTTCCCTTCTCCCCAGGGAAATTATGGTATGCACAGTCTATTTTTCATTTTACTATTTTTGAACAATAACAAAAAGCACTGGGGGTGTGTTTTGATTCTGCAGCTGCCGGAGCATTGTTCTCGTCCACTTGATGTGATGATGGATACTGAGTTCAATTGCCGTGATCGTGATGACATCTGGCAGGCAGCTTTAGAGAGACCTCTGGGCTATGCGTGACACAGGACATGTTTTTCTGAACCAAAGGGAAGCACGTCAAGGTTTTGTTACCTCACCTTTTGAAAAAATGGCCTGTCGTGGATACAGAGAGTGACTGGAGCTAAAAAAATGTATACTGAAAGAGCTACGGGCTATTTGATTACAAGACACAGAGTAGAGGAGGGTAGTTGTCACAGGGAAACAGAGAAACTGATTTGTGGCATTGTTGTAAAAAAAAAAAAAAATCCAAAGGAAATGGAAATACTCTCTGGTGTTGCCGTGAAATGAGACAGATGAAAGAAATCTTAAAAATACTTAATAAGGTGTAAGAACTCGAGGCTTTTCTTCGTTTGGGAAGGCAATATTGATCTATTTCTTCGAAATGGTAGGAAAAGAAGAAGGACCCCAAACTTCTTCCATGTTTCCTAGATTTATTTTTGGTACTGGCATGGAAATCAGCCAATCCACAGTTTTAACCCCCCTTTGAACTGAGACATTCCAGATAGAGCTGGTGGGAGCAAGGACTCACCTCACACATGGGACTGCTAAAAGGATTTTTAAATGCCAGATACCTCATCTTCCCCCAAATATCTCTCCTACCAAGTGTAAATCCCCAATATTAGTATTAATAATGAATTAGATAGGTATTTCATCTCTGTACGGCCACTTGACCCCTCTCTTAACAGTTTATCACCAGAAAATAATTTCTAGGAGAAAACAGGACATTATCGAGCCCCATGGAGTAGTTAGGCCCTGGGCCAAAGGGTGATCTCAGTGCATGCCTAGGAAGAGAACAGTGGTTCCTGAGGGGACTGGGTGGGGGGATCCGTGAATGCTACCAACATTGTTTTGCATAGTTTCAGTTCCTCCATTGCTCTCTAGTAAATTATAAATTTTGGAATTCTGTATTTTTCCAGTCTTTTGTTGTTTTCTTTTTTGTTGTGGTTATAGATATTGATTTTTCTTTTTTTTTTTAAAAATTTTTATTTAATTATAGTTGACACAGTATTACATTAGTCTCAGATGTACAACATAGGGATTCAGTATCTCTACACATTATGCTATGCTCACAAGAATAGCTACCATCTGTCCCCACACAACACTATTACATTATCATTGATTATATTCCCTATGCTGTGCCTTTTATTCCCATGACTTACTCATTCCACAACAGGAAGCTTGTATCTCCTACTCCCCTTTTCCCATTTTGCCCATCCCTCACCCATCTCCCCTCTGGCAATCATCAGCTTATTCTCTGTATGTAGAGGTTTGATTCTGCTTTTTGTTTGTTTATTCATTTGCTTTTGTGGAGCACATATGTTTTCACTCCTATGTGGATTGAAATCATATGGTATTTGTCTTTCTCACTCTGACCTATTTCACTTAGCTAACACCCTCTAGGTCCATCCATGTTGTTGCAAATGGCACAATCTCGTCCTTTTTTATGTCTGTGTGATATTCCACTGTGTGTGTGTGTTGTGTGTGTGTGTGTGTGTATCACATCTTCTTTATCCATTCATCTGTTGATGAACGCTCAGTTTGCTTCCTTATCTTGGCTATTGTAAATAATGCTGCAATAAACAAAGGGATGCATGTATCTTTTCAAATTGGTGTTTTCATTTTCTTTGGGTAAATACCTACTAATGGAATTATTGAGTCATATGGTTTTTTTCTATTTTTAATTTTTTGAGAAACTTCCTACTGTTTTCTACAGTGGCTGTACCAATTTGCATTCCTACCAGCTGTGCACAAGAGTTCATTTTTTTTCCACATCCTCAGCAACACTTGTAATTTTTTGCCTTTTTAATTTTAGCTACTCTGGCAGGTATAAGATGATACCTCATTCCGGCTTTTATTTGCATCTCCCTGATAGTTAGTGATGTTGAATATCTTTTCATGGGTCTATTTGCCATCTGTATGTCTTCTTTGAAAAAATGTCTATTCAGGTCCTTTGCCCACTTTTAATCAGATTATTTGTTTTTATTTGGTGTGGAGTTATATAAGTTCTTTATATATTTTGAATATTAACCCCTTATCTAATATATCATTTGCAAATATCTTCTCCCATTCAGTAGGTTGTCTTTTAGTTTTGTTGATGGTTTCCTTTGCTGTGCAAAAGCTTTTTATTTTTATGTGGTCTCAATAGTTTGTTTTTGTTTTTGTTTCCCTTGCCTCAGGAGACATATCTAGAAAAATGTTGCTAAGGCAGATGTCAGAGAAATTACTGCCTGTGTTCTCTTCTTTTCTGGTTTCAGGTCTCACATTTAGGTCTTTAATCCTTTTTGAGTTTATTTTTGTGTAAGTTGTAAGAAAGTGGTCCAGTTTCATTCTTTTGGATATAGTTGTCCATTTTCCCCAGCACCATTTATTGAAGAGACTTTTTCCTATTGTATATTTATTCCTTCTTTGTCAGAGATTAATTGACCATATACTTATCGGTTTATTTCTGGGTTTTCTATTCTGTTCTATTGATCTTTGTGTCTATTTTTGTGCCAGTACCATACTGTTTTGATGAGTGCAGCTTTGTAGTATATCTTGAAATCTGGAATTGAGATTCCTCCAGCTTTGTTTTTCTTTCTTAAGATAGTTTTGGCTATTTGAGGTCTTTTGTGGTTCCATACATATTTTAGGATTATTTGTTCTTATTTTGCAAAAATAAAAAAAAAAGCCCTTAATATTTTGATAGGGATTTTGATACTGAATTTGTAGATTGTTTTCAGTCCTATGGCTATCTTAACAATATTCTCTAATCCATGAGTATGGAATTTCACTTGTTTGTGTCATCTTCAATTTCTTTCATCATTGCTTTATAGTTTTCAGAGTACAGATCTCTCACCCCTTTGGTTAAGTTTATTCCTAGGTATTTTGGGTGGGCACAATTGTAAATGGAGTTGTTTTCTTAATTTCTCTTTCTGCTACTTCATTATTAGTATATAGAAACACTACCATATATTACTCCAGTCTGAGAAGGAAAAATTTCTCATCAAGTTTTGCTCCTGGGAAATGAAATCTAGGCATTATCAGGGGGGATAGTAAAGAAATCACACAGTGCTATTTTAGCTCCTGAAAAAAGCATTCCTGAGCTTGACTTTCCATTCAGATAAGAAGTGGCCAAGAGCCAGTTCATTGGTTCTACACTAGAGACCCTCGGGTCATGGAAAATCTCCAGTAATGACAGTTTCTTCCTGCACATTATCAGGTATGGGCTCCACCCTGCTTTCTGTTCAAATGGCTTAGTTACTAAAAACACACACACATACACACAAACCCCCAAAACAAAACAAAACAGAACAAAACAAAAACTAAAAAGGAACATGTGAGAAGCATTTGCTTGCCTTCTCACTAGGCCTTAACTGTGTATCTAAAATGAAGCCAGGGCATGAAATTCCCCTAGGTGGAAGTATTATAGTGGAGCTAGATGGTGAGGTAGTGAACAGGTGCACAGGTGAGGTATTGAAATGGTATTGAAAACTTTATGAGGATAAGTATGCATGTAGGTATATGTGTGTGTATGTGTGTGTGTACATGTACGTATGTATATACATATGCATATATAGTACATGCTCTTTCTGTGGGACTGAGTTCATATTTTTCATCAGCTTCTCAAATAGAACCATGATCCAACGAAGGTTAAGAACTATCATAGAAGATTTAAAATTTTGAGCAAGTGACTGCTCTGAGGAGAAAGGACGGTAAAGGGAAAATTTATAATGAACAGTTTAATAACGTCATCTGGTGCAACACTAAATAAAATGACACTAGAATGTACAATCGTCATTAGTTTGTGGCATATCACCAATACGCACGGTCCCTTGGCTCCTGTGTGGTATACAGAACTACATGTTGATGTAATTTGCACAATGTGGGGCTTTTAGGGGAATGGATGCTGATGAGATGCCTTACTTAAGGCCACTTCCCTAGCAGGAGTTAAGAGTGTTCTTAAAGATGGCAGGGTCTGAATAGCGTAGTTTAAGGGAAGAACTTTGGATGAAATAAAAATTCCTACTCCTTTCATGTTAGTTTAAATGACTGCCTGCCTGTCTGATACCTCGTACCAAAATATAAATGAATTATAGAATTTCTAGCCACTTAACTCCTCCCAGACCTGTTCATTTGTGTTGGTTTTGGTGATTAAAAGAGAGCTGGTACAGTTTTAGCAGAAGGTGCAATGAGCATATTGGTCAAGTCCTGAATAAAGTTACTTATAATATCATCCTCCCATCTTTCCCCTGGTATAGCATTTAATATTCTATACATAACAACATTTCATCATTATTATACCCTTTAACTGAGGTTAAATGGGAAAATAATATGAGGACAGATTTGAAATTACTTATTATCTATGTTTGTAAAACCACTTAATAGAAAACATCAGTGGCTTACTTTTTATTTACATTATTTTTCATTTACATTGCTTTTCATTTAAAAGGGAAAAATAAAAATTTCGGGAGTTAACAATTATTTAGTAATGTAAGTGTCATTCTAAGTAATAATTTCCAATTAGATCGTTCTATACATGTGAAATAAAACAGAGATTCTGTGGGTAGCATGGGTATTAGAAATTCACTTCAAAATATGCAAGTTTGAAAAGAAAACCAAAAAAAAAAAAAAAGAAAAGAAAAGAAAACCAATTTTATGTAGACAGTCAACTTGACAAATCGGGGTTTGTTGACAAATAAGCCAGAAGAATTAAAAATAACAATATTTTGAACATTTTACTATAATGCTATCTCTTATTCAGTAATTAAAAGCATCATTAATGCTGAATGGATGTTTTTAACAACTGTATTTTTTTTTTTTAAAGATTTTATTTATTTGGCAGAGAGACACAGCGAGAGAGGGAACACAAGCAGGGGGAGTGGGAGAGGGAGAAGCAGGCTCCCAAGGAGCAGGGAGCCCGATGCGGGGCTCAATCCCAGGACCCTGGGATCATGACCTGAGCTGAAGGCAGACGCTTAACGACTGAGCCACCCAGGCGCGCCCAACTGTATTTTATAAGCATTTCTTCATCAGAAAATATAGCTTAGTTTTTTCCAACTACTTTTATCAAAAGCTTTAATACCTAAATACTGTGTAGATAAAAGTGTTTACTTAGCGGACGCCTGGGTGGCTCAGTTGGTTAAGCGACTGCCTTCGGCTCAGGTCATGATCCTGGAGTCCCAGGATCGAGTACCACATCGGGCTCCCTGCTCCGCAGGGAGCCTGCTTCTGCCTCTGACCCTCCCCCCTCTCATGTGCTCTCTCTCTCTCATTCTCTCTGTCTCAAATAAATAAATAAAATCTTTAAAAAAAAAAAAGTGTTTACTTAGCAGTTATTGCATGATGATGAAATGCACTACCGTTCAATGAAAACATACCTTAGCTACTTAGTGTCCTAAGATAAATGTGTTTTCCCAACAATTCTTCATTAAAAGAAAATCCACACACATAAGCCTATCAAAAGATAAGCAAGGAGCCAATTATGACCACTACTGTTACTGTATTTGGCTCTCAAATTTTATCCTATGTGCAGAGTGAATAGAGTAATATGGTTGAATCCAATGCTAAATAAGCAACAAGTTATTAAAGAATTGGGGGGGATTGCATGGCTGAGATGACATTAAGATAAAGGTATTAGAGCTTAAAGAGTCGGGGGGAAAAATGCCTCTTGTCTAGTAAAAAGTGGCAGAAAGTTTCTAAAGGTCTCCCAAGCTTTGCAAGATCTGGGTCATCCGAAAGACTAAACTCCCACATACTTGTAGTTTCAAATATAGGAATAATTATATATAGTGCTTTAAATTTTACAGAGTGCTTTCAAGCACGTTGTTGCATTTGACCCTCACAATGGGCTTTAGGCATTTTGAGGACAGGGTCTATATTTTGTTCGCTGTTGTTTTCACTGTGCCTCATATAAAGTAAGCACTCGTAATTTCTGAATGGGTAAATGAAAGAAAGGTAAAGTGATTGGTCAAGTCACCAGTGTGTAGAGGAACTTGGGTTCACTCTTGGTTTTCTGATTCCAAATCCCTTGTCCCTTTTATAATTTTAGCTTGCTTTTTTTTTTTCTACTGAGAAATAGTCAAATCTCTGTTGTGTATGTTTTCCATTTCTTTCAGATTTCAAAACAAAATCTTATGAGTTCTTTAGAATTCATAACCTCTCATTTAATAGTCAAGTTAGGTAGTTTAAATCAGGTGTCAACAAACTTTCTCCATAAAGGGCCAGTTAGTAAGTATTTTCAAACTTTTGTGCCATATGCTCTTTGTTGCAATGCTTCAACTCTGCTGCTGTGGGATATAAATAATCACAGATGAACAAATGAATGATTGGGCATGGCTGTGTTCCAATAAAACTTTATTTATGAACACTAATATTTTAATTTCATAGAATTTTCTGAGCCACAAAACATTATTCTTCTTTTTATTTTTAAAAACTATTTAAAAGCGCAGAAGCTATTCTTGGCTTGTGGGACCAGCAAAACAGGCAGCTGGCTAGGTTCACAGTTCTGACTTCGCCCATTCCTGGTTTAAATAATGATGGGAAGAAGAGCCCAACTTCCCTGTGTAGAAGTTAATTAAAATCAGTCTGACCATTCCTACATTTGGGAATTTGGGTGTCAAGGAAAAGGATATTTATTTTCATTTTCTGGTGGTTTCTATTTAATACCAACTAACTGGCAGCGGGTTAGAAAGCTCTTGATGGTACAGCATTATATCCTTTGGGGCACTGAGTGACAAACAGTGGCAGGGTGATAGTGAGAAAAAGAATTTTCGAAGTATGCTTCTGTCCATTTCTACAGTTTGGTGATTTGAACCTGGTTCAGGATGATGTCAATGTTGAATCTATTCAGGGCTACTGGAAAGGAACTGCAAAAAGTACAAAAGGAAAGTTTTCCTACCTGAAAACACAAAACATGCTCTGTTGATTATTTTTTTTTGTTTTTTCTAAAGATTTTATTTTTTTATGTAACAAAGAGAGAGAGAGCACAAGCCGAGGGAGGGGCAGAGGGAGAGGGAGAAGCAGACTCCCCACTGAGCAGGGGGCCCCATGTGGGGCTCGATCCCAGGACCCTGGGATCATGACCTGAGCCGCTTAACCCGCTGAGCCACCAAGGCACCCAAACATACTATTTTTAAAAAACAAAATATTTTTTGTTTGAAAACTAATGTGTCTATCCTGGCATATTTACAATCAACAATAAGAACAAGTCACAAAGACTGATATATGCTCTGGGGAAAACATAGAAATCATGCTCTATTTCTATAGGGAAATGAGGAGTATATTCAATGAAAAGGGTATCAAATGCTGCTGAGGGGAAGGAGAAGGAGTGGTGGAAGAAGAGAGAGATTTCTGAAGTTAAAGGGACAAGATGAGGCTTACCTGATGCAGAAAGAAAGGCGCTGGCTTGCTCCTTGGCTGTGTATTGCAGTCGTACTGTTACAAGTTCTTGTTAAAATGCTAATGTACTGTCAGGGCATGACTATAAAATAATCTGCATGAAATTGCATGAAAAATGGAAATTGAGGATAAGAATCTTTGCATTCATTCATTCACAGGTCTCTGTGGTTAGAGGGAGGCTGAGAAGAGTGAGAAAGTTAAAGTCCTAATCATTTCATTATAAGGCCCCGATTTTTTGTCAGTTTCAAATATGTTTTCAGTCCCATTCATTCACTGCAACTCTTAAGGAGCATAAGTTTATCTCATCTTGGTGAGGAAAATTAGAATCTGAAAAGCCTGAGAGCTCAGTTTTGGATTATTCCCCTCATTCCAGGGAGGACATATCTGTTTGGATTAAATAACCCATTGCTAACTAGACAATTACTTGTCATCCTGTTGAAATAAAGAATTGTTCTACATGTGGAATGATAGCACCATATTCCAGTGAAGACCTGGTTAACCATTCTCGTGGAAAAAATACATTTTGTGTGAGAAACCAGCAGACATCGCCTCCAAACTGACCTTTGATCTCATGGAAAGACTGCTGTTATTCCAATCCACAAATCAGGACAGGCTGAGCTCTATCAAACATTCCTGCTCATCTGACCTCAAACTTTTGAGGTGGGTTCACTCAATAGGAGGTAAGAGATGAAAACATGGCAAGACACAAGTACTTTTGAAACACTCAGCAGAGTCTGAAAAGCTGCTTGCCTAGTACAAGGTTTATATTTAATTTTTGAGTGTTTACTTGATTCTTGTATGTAAAGCCTCCACCCTTCAGTGTTGATTTTGGAAGTCATATAAATAGTTCAGATTAGTTCAGATTTCTTCTTGCCATTTGCAGATGTTCATTTCTGAAGAATTGAGGAGGGCATACTTCCTGTGTGTGTTGTAGAGGTTTCTGTTTCGTCTCCTTTCTCCTTGAACTGGAATATTAGACTATGACCCCCGGGTTTTGTCTTCTTGAGCAAGTTGTGCATCTCCTCAGGAGAGACTTCATGAACCAAAGGGCATTTACTCCATTTTTGCACAAGTTCTGACAGGGGTTAAAGAAGAAAGATCTATTTGGAGAAGGTCCTGTTCGGTGCCCAAAAAGCCACACGCTGGTTTACAATGACAAAACACGCTGGTTTATGTCGGCTCTACCTGTAATTGCTTTGAAATATTGAGATAGTCACCAGATATCTTTCAGCTTTTTCACCTGTTAAGTGAGCTACATTTCTATCAGAACAGGCTTGGTTTTGCTAAGGTAACCAATATGCCCCAAATTTCAATTGTATAGAAGAGCAAAGGTTTTCACATGTCTCTCATGGATTAGCAGGAGATCTTGGGTCCGAGTAGTCAGCCACTTAGCAATTTAGACTTAGTACTTCATTAAATGCTACCCAAAGCAACCAACACATGCGACTAGTATTCAGTTTTTAAGCCTCTTCCCAAGACCTTGAGTTTATTAAGTACATCATATGCTTCCAATTTACTTCAGGTAAGGATTTACACCCAGAATGCCATCCTTTAGGCCTCCACTATAGTTTCCTTATGAAACACTTCTTGGTTCCTAAACCCAAGCTGTAGATTTTAGTATGGTGCTCTACCCTAGTTGTATATACTAATTTCTACATGCTGAGACAGTGCATAAGAACCAAAAAAGTTAATGGCTTTAAAACAATAAAGGCTTACGTCTCACTCAGGGCACATTCCTTTAAGGGCTGGTTGGCCGTTTACTCATTGCAGCCCTCAAGGATCCAAGCTCAACAAAATGTAACCACTGTGCCAAGCACTTGGTTGCTGGTGCACCAATGAGCAAACAGAACTCTGGAGGGTCTCACCGCAGCAACGAAATACACAGCCTGAGAGAATCACATGTTCCTTCTCTGCAGAACTCAATGACAAGGGGCGCCTGGGTGGCTCAGTTGGTTAAGCGACTGCCTTCGGCTCAGGTCATGATCCTGGAGTCCCTGGATCGAGTCCCGCATCGGGCTCCCTGCTCAGTGAGGAGCCTGCTTCTCCCTCTAACCCTCCCCCCGTCATGTACTCTCTCTCTCTCTCTCATTCTCACTCTCTCAAATAAATAAATAAATCTTTAAAAAAAAAAAAAAAAAAGAACTCAATGACAAGAGGAAGTACCATTCCCTCAGCGAAGTACTTGTGGGACCAGACGGGGCAACTCCCAAATATCTGATGAAAAGCCCCGATGGTGATCACAGGCTGGTCCCTTCTAGTCATAAAATTACATGATGATATTATTCTGACTATGGTTCAAAGAAATCTTTGGGTGACAACCCTATGTCACAGAGTGATAATCATTATGCATGCATTAAACAATTTAATATTTAGAGAAATATTCCTGGATCTGTAAAGGCTGTGTAAGTTTCAGCACCTGAATAAATGAAGATAGCTAATATGACTCTCACAGAAAGTATGCTAATTCTATTTGCATTCAGCTCATACCTCCTTAGTTACTCCTTTTGTGCCGTGGTTTCTCTGGGACAAACGTAGTCCATTCCAGTGACGCCTGAAGTCAAGGCTAGGAAAGTTACAACATTTTCAGCTCGTTCTCCTCCAATGTGTTGGCCAGCATTGACAGCAGTGACTTTGTCAGCAGTCAGTTTTCCACTTACCTCCATGTCCCAGAAGTTCTGAGGGGATTGCTGAGCCAGCACTCAAGAACAGAGGCAGTTTTGGGCGCCTGGGTGGCTCAGTTGGTTAAGCGACTGCCGTCGGCTCAGGTCATGATCCTGGAGTCCCGGGATCGAGTCCCGCATCGGGCTCCCTGCTCGGCAGGGAGTCTGCTTCTCCCTCTGATCCTCCTCCCTCTCATGCTCTCTGTCTCCCATTCTCTCTCTCAGAAAAAAAAAAAAAAAAAGAAAAAGAAAAAGAACAGAGGCAGTTTTGTTTGGCGATAGTGTAAGGTTCACTGATTGATGTTCAACCTGGAAAACACTATACCTTCATTGTGCAAAAGTTTGGAAGCCCGTATTTTGAGGCCAAAGACAGCTAGTACAATGGGTAGCTAGGAATACTCTCCAGTTCTGTCATCCCGTTGTCCTTGTGCTGCAGGGAAATGGACATGAGCAGGAAATGAGATAAAATAAATGTCACATTCTGTGGTTAAACATGCAGATGGTAATAGTTATTAAATTTCAGGTAAAAATAGAAAAATTTTTCCCCAAACGTGCCCCCACACGCTTGCAGGCAGAGTAATGCAGCTAATCACTTTCAATAGGACAAAATGCAGCCTCAGAATTTGGGGAAAGGATAGACTGGGCTGTGGTAGAGTATTTGATGTCCATGTGGCCATAGCTGTGGCCTGTTTTGGAATCTTCATGTTCCTGAAATCTAACATGTTCCTGACTTATGATTACATCTTGCAGAAATTTAGTCTTCCAGACTAGGAGTTCTAGAGTCATTTTTGATAGCCTGGCTCTGCAGCCTTTCAGCTATAGAACATTGGGGAATTATTTAATCTCTCTGTGCCTCAGTTTCTCCATAAATAAACATGTTATTAAAGCACCTAGTCCATTGTAAGTACCTAAACCATCTTAGCTTGTGGGTTCGGAAATCATCAGTTTCTGAGAAATATGATAATATCCAGGGCAACATTACTTTTAAATTGTGAATAAATAAAGTTCTCAAAGTTTATTAATTTAAAGATGTCCTTGGAACAGATAACAGCTCCTCCAGAGTTTTCTGCAAAGGTTTGACTTTAAAAGTCTCAACATATTTCTGTGTTCCAAAACTTAGAAGGTGTGATCACAAAGAGTCAATTTCAGATTTCTCTGTATCCCAGAATATTCTCAAACATGGAGGTCATGTTTCAAATACTTGTCTCAATATTTTTCTCAACCTTCTTTAGGAGAAAAGAATTTTCTATTACTGAAGAGCTGCCCTCAACATTGAAACAACTCCTCCTAATGAAGCCTAATCTGAGAATGCAGTCTTAGACCCTTTTCCAGCTCTTATAAAGTAACTCCATGACTGAATTGGAGATATCTCTCTTTCCAAGGCATAATCCATTATTGTATTTTTGGAAATACCCACAGAATTCCAGGAAGAATAGAAGACGGGGGTGGGGGGGGGGTGGCGGGAAGCAATTTGAACTTAAAATCAAGTAAACTCTTTTATTTAAAATTTTGTAAAAGATATATAAGAGAATCCTGTGTAGGCATATTACTTGGAATATAGATTTGGCAGCTGTGATAAAGAAGGTGGACATTTAATATGAACTCATGTTAAAGTCTAAGCCACACGGCAGTTTTCTCCACAAAGTCAGCAAGGGGCGCCAGGTCCCTTCATCTCCTGGTTCCTTTATAAACTGTAAGATCTTGCCCTCATCACTCTGGTATAAAACAGCGCACAGCCAAGTCCTCATTCCAGACACCAGGAAAGAGTTAAAGAAAAGGGAAGTCACACCCGTTCTTTTAATGATGTGTCCCCTTTAGAGAAGATGGGCCACTCTCACTCCACCCCATTGGCCCGCACTTGGTCATGTGGCCATGGGAACGGGCAAATGTTATCTTTATCCTTGCAGATCAAGTGCCCAAACTAGGAACTGAAAGAAAAGAATAGATACTGGAGGAAGAGGAATAGCCTCTGCGTTGGTAGGAGACTCAGATGCTAGAGCGGAAGCTCTATACGCATCTGATACCCGCAGTATTTTATGAATTACTCCTTGTATATGTGTGTGCATTATGAATTAGAAAGTTATTCCTGATCCCCTCTGAGGAATCACCTAAGCTGTCTGTGTCTAAACCTCCATAATTGCAAAATGGGGCAATCACATTAACTACAAAAAGGCTCAAGAAATATTTGTTGTCTTGAAGAATCTTAAATCAGAATTTAAAAGTAAGTGAAATAATCTTTAAAACCAACTCAATGGGGCACCTGGGTGGTTCAGTCAGTTAGGCACCTGCCTCTTGATTTCAGCTCAGGTCGTGATGTCAGGGTCATGAGATGGAGCCCTGCCTGGGCTCCCATGGGGCTCTGCTTGAGATTCTCCCTCCCTCTCCCTCTGCCCCCCCCCCCCCCACATGCTTGTGCGAGCTCTCTCTCTCTCTTTCTCGCTCACTCTTGCTCTCAAATAAATAAATGAATAAAATCTTTAAAAAAAAAAAACTCAACCATGGAGTTAACATTATTTTTGTTTTTAAAGTAGGCTCCACACCAGGCAGTGTGGAGCCCTATGCAGGCCTTGAACTCACAGCCTTGAGATGGAGATCTGAGCTGAGATCAAGAGTCAGTCACTTAACCAATTGAGCCATGCAGGTGCCCCAAGTTAACATTATTTTTGAAAATAGTTGATTTTTTTTTTTTATTGCTTATAGCCAGTGGTTAAAAATGGAATGTTTTTTCTTTACCAATACCTGTATCCCTTGGAGAAAGGTGTCTGTTTCCATTTTAAAGTTAGATTTCAGAATCAAAGGGACTATTTATTTCTCAAATTCAGGAAATGTTTCTCAGGCTATAACAGTCATGTTGTATGATAGTGTGTATGTGTAGGTAAAAGAAAGTTTGATGAAAAATTTGGGTTTGGTTTAAAGAATAGTAAAGAAAGTGAAGCCAGAAAATCTTTAAAGCCTTGATATTAGGACTAAACAAATAAGGAAAAGTCAAATGTCCATTCACTCATTCAATATCTATTTATTGAGCACCTACTTTGTTCTAGACTAGAAGCTGGATATACAAGGATAATAAAGGTAGACAAGATTCCTGCCCTCAAGACTTTGCATGCTGCTAGGAGAGACAGGCAATAAACAAGTAAACACAGCATGTAATAAATAGGTAAGATAATGATACCTACTTATGAAATAAATAGTGTATTTTGATAAATAACAGGGGACATCTACTTTAGATAAAGCAGTTGAGGAAGGTCTGTCTAAGAAGGCAACATTTAAAGAAGAGACCAGGAGGAGAAGCCACCAAACGTGGGAAGAGGAGAGAGAAGAAAATTTCAGGCAGAGAGAACAGAAATCTGGCACAGAAAATATGTTGGCCTGTTCAGTGTAAATGGTAAGGTTCATAATAAGTGCCAATATATTTGTTTGCAGTATGACTCTCTGAAAAGTATCCATGGTGAGAATTGTTACCTACACTACCTCATGGTGCTTCCTTTTTATTAGTTAAATAATAGAATTTAAAAATAAACGTGATGTGATGAGCACTGGTGTTATACACAACTGATAAATTATTGAACACTACATCTGAAACTAATGATGTACTAGATGTTGACTAATTGAATTTCAATTTTAAAAAAGATAAAAAATAAAAATAAAAAATAAACCAATAGGTATTTATTATAGATATTTAGGTATTAAAGTTTGATGGCCAAGAGGTAATATATGCAAGTAGAAGCCACTAGAATGAAGTATTCCAGAAATGAACAGAACAAATTACTAAAAAGAGAAGAGCAAAATACTAGAACATGATTAATTTTAAGTTTATTTGGGAACTCCTGGCTCTTGCCAGTTTTTAACTGCATACTCCTAAAACAGATCGCACCTGAATGTTATGGACATGCTGTCACTCCCATATTTAGCTGGGGATGTGTTCCCTTTGTAACTGGAAGAATTATCCATTCCTAGTTCTGCTGGATTTAAAGCAGTATTGTTTTCTCCATCTTGAACACAGGGCTCTTGTCCAGCTCGAATCCCAGGGGGAG